GATTGGCCTATTGTAGCCGGCTCCGGGTGATTATGATGATGCAGAATTTGTAAGAATGTNGGGCCGCCGCGGTGGGAAGCCAGCGACTAACCGCTTGAGCTATGACGCGGCCCAAGGTTGGTTAGTTGGTTACTTGAAGTCCACACTAAATCCACTTTATTTCAAAATTGACCATAGACGTGTAAATAGGCTTATAAAGTGTGAAAATTCGTGTGTAGATATGAAAAGTTTTAATTTTCGCTAATATTAAAAAACTGAATCATTGGTCATAAGAATGGTCTAAATATCTGTCTACACTCAGAAATTATGAGAAAGTTACGCCTACTATAAGCTCTGAAATTCACTGACTATATATTTATTGAAGAATAGTTATATCTCTTGCGATATAACACCATGTAGGGTTGCTTTCACTTCGACCGTGAAGATCGAGGCGACATGTTCCTCCGAAACGTCAGTTGATTAACGGTCTAAACAACCTTATATCCCAGAAGTTAGAACTGTTCATAAGCACCGCTGTCAGAGACCCAAGCCCTACGAAGGTCTATCTTATTATTCTTATGTTGACAATTCAGGCCTGCCAACTTAGACAGTTTCTCGAAGAATCTGCTGCTGTGTTGTTTCGATATCCCATCTACTACGAGTGTTATGGCTATAGAGAAGGTAGCGTAAATGTGACAAAAATCCTCGTTTCTTGAATCAGCGACGAAGCCTGAAGTATCACGACCACTGAATGTGACGTAGTATAGTTGGCTGGTAAAATATTTCAGTTTTACTGAGGGCCGAAATTCTGTCGTTAGCGGCTGAAGCCCATGCTTGCGCCTGCGCTAAACCAACGAAAGCAACATGGCCACACCACGATTATTTCTTTGTGATCCATTTGATGACGCTATCAGTATTCAGACCGTCGGATGACAGGATGACTGACGAATGATAAATTGTAAGGGATGTGAAAGGAAGCGGCCATGGCTCACTCGGGTTGGGAGAGCCGACGTTTCGGACGAAATTCGAGCCTAGCTCCTCCACAATATAAATAATAGTTTAGTGCGTTATCGTTACACCAGCCTGCTTGGCTTTATGTTTATAATAATAATAATAATTCAATTCAATTTTGTTTTTATTTATGTGCAAATTTAACAGCACAGTGGCCAATTACAAAGTTAGCACGAGTACATAGAAATACACAAAAATTAAAGAGCAAAATAAAAATATGACAGTCTAATAATAATAATAATAATAATACACAATTATTATGATGATACATTATTATTATTATTATTATTATTATTATTATTATTATTATTATTATTGGACCTATCATCATCATTCTCTCCGATATTTTTCGGGGATTTCCTCACGATGATAAAGTAAGTCCGAGCTTGAAGCTAACAGTTAATCGCCAAGAGGTTAAGAACTGCAATGCTTGAATCCCACGCCCCATAAGCACCCCCGAAACGTTGACGCTAAGCTTAGGGACTGACTTATGTTTACATTAATTGCTATGTTAATAATCCTATGCTTGATGCTGCTACTGCTGCCGCTGCTACGTCTAGAAGCAATTATACACCTACTGTGAAGTCACGGATTATTATTTCATTAGCATCTGTGAACTTGTGAGGGTGGACGGAATAGGCCTAATATCCAGTGAGACGAGTCCGTCAGTATACACGTACATACGTTAATTAGAAAGAACAAGTAAGAAAGGAATGTGCCCTGTTGTAGCTGATGTGCCGGTATTCGCTGGGGCACTAAGCTACAAGTTGGGAGGTCGTGGGTTCGATTCCCGATGAGGTTATCCGATTTTTCAACTTACTTAACCGTTCTAGCCGCACTATGGTCCTGGGGTCGACTCAGCCTCTAACAGAAGTAAGTACCAGGAATATTCTTGGGGGTAAAGGGCGGCCGGCGCGTAAGTCTGACAACCTTACTGCCATCTGTGAGCCGATTGTCCAGGAAATATGGGAGCCTCGACGTTTCACAAGCTTATGAGCCTGAACAGCCTGTTAGAGAGCTAACTGTACCTTTTTATTCCTTGGCAATACAGCCCCAGTGGGCCTAGGCCTACCTCCATGAACTTCTCTGTTCACTTCGGTTTTTCTAGATCTTACACATTCGGTAGGACTCCCTGGGCGGGTGATCAGCTCGTCAGCTCGTACACAAACACAGAAAAACGTAGACACACAAAATAAACATCCATGCCCTGAGTGGGACACGAACCCACGATCCCGGTTTCCAAGCGAGCGAAGACAGTACATGCCTTAGACCTCTCGGCTACCGTGACCGGCTAACTGTACCTTACATTTATCAATGTTCGCTGGGATGACTGAGGCACGCCGCAAAATAAGGGAAAATAGTAAAGTAATGCCTGTAACAGGCCGTGGAGGCCAATACATGGGGGTGTGAGACGTCGAGGTTCCCATATTTTCTAGAGAGTAGCCTCACAGATGGCGGTGAGGTTGTCAGCCTTATGAGCCGGCCGTCTTTAACCCTTAGGAAGATTCCTGGTATTCATTTCTCTTAGAGGCTGAGTCGATCCCAGGGCCATAGTGCGGCTGGAAGGATTAGGTAAATTGAAAATCTAATAACCCAAACGGGAATCGAAAACGTGACCTTCCGGCTTGTAGCACAGCGCCTCAAGCAACTGCGCTACCGCGTGCTCCAGTCGAGATTCTACACTGAAACCTCCCGAATACAGATCTGACACCTTACTGCTCAGTTCACAGCTATTAATCGTGTTTATTTGTTTATTTATGCCACGGACATATCTGGTTGATACATGCGACTGATGTTCGTCAGATGTTGCTATAATCCGACACCGAGAAGCTGATTCAGGTAGTAACAGTTGGGAATCTTACGCAGAAGGTATCGTGTTAGAATCTCGGCTTGAGATTTTTCTTAGTTTTCTTCAGCCCCTCTAGGCAAATTCCGGGATATCTCTTTAAAATTTGACCATGGGCGCTCTCTTCAACATCCACTTGAATTCATAATTCACAATCATCCACCCACCCGACGCCGTATACACTGAGACACCGAGAGCTTCGGTTCATAAACTAATTAGCAAACATCTCAGCAGATCTACACGTTTTCGCAGAACCAATACGGACCAAGAGAGAAATGTGCATGGCAAGAGCTTACTACGGTTCGTGACTTTGTTCTGTGAATTGTTTTAATCATCATCATCAGTTTGACAGAGAAGTTAGCCCTAAATCTTCCCACCGCGGAGACCCGGGTTCAAGACCAGGTCAGGTCATGTGGGATTTGTGGTGGACAAAGTAGCACTAGGGGCAGGTTCTCTCCGAGTACTTCGCTTTCCCCTGCCAATTTTCGTTCCATCGATTGCTCCACATTCATCATCATCATCTATCTGTCATCCGTGGCTGGTACAATAGGATAAAGAGAAGTTGGCGTACAAGGTGGACTAAGTCTCACCCTACCCCAAGAAACAAAAAAAAACTAGCCCTAGATCTACGAGCCTTACCTTCTGGGGCATACGTACAGACAGGCTTGCGTTTCAAGGAGAAACAGTTTTATCTGACATCAACATCATCTTTTTTCGTAATAAATGTGTCCTCCCCAGGATAGGCGTTTTCTGACGCTCATTATCATCAGCACAACCACTACTGTCATCTTCAAGAGCGACACATTGTCGTGCCATTGTGTCTGGTACAAGGCAGACATTTCCCCTTCGGGTTGAAATGCATCAAGAAGCGACTGCGCTGTCGGATGTGTTTTGTTTGCCACGTCACATTAGCGGCAATCAACTCAAATATTGGAGCAGCGGGTTACCCAACATATCGCGGGTTCTCACATGAATTTTCTATATATATTGATTGGTAAGCCGCTATTTTACATGGAGAGAACTCATCCTGCTTAGGAACTGAGCACAGCTTTACGCAGGCGCGTCAGTAGAGCCACAGTTCAGAGACATTTCCAACAGCAGTGTTCTGATAATTTACTGAGCTATTATATATATATATATATATGTAACAAATTTAGACGGTGTCAAATAGGACAACATACTTCCGAACCGGCAGTCCCAGACTCATTTGTACTTCAAATTGAATAGGATTTAACCAATACACGAGAGATCTCCAGAAGTCGGGGTAACTCAGTGAGTATAGTGACTACAATGGGATTGGTGACCAAGAAATCGGATTCGATACCCGGCACGAGCAAGTTCTTCTTTTCTTAACCACAACGTCCGTACCAGTATCGAGATTTTACCCAGCCTTCTATCTAATGGATGACAGGTTCTTCCAAACGAGGACGTAAGGGGCGCTGAGTACTCATCTCGATACAATGCCGAGGTTAGGAATGCATGGAGATGCTTCTGCAATATCCCATAAGTTTCCTTGGTGTTTCAGGTTCCAAGAATTGATTTAATTGCAGTTGAATGGATTCAATCAGACATTAGTGTATTACTATCTATCTATCCATCTGTCTATCTATCTATCTATCTATCTATCTATCTATCTATCTATCTATCTGTCTCTCTGTCTATCTATCTATTTATCTATCTATCCGTTTACAACCCTAGCGAACCTTTGCTGCGTTTTCAGCTTCCTAATCCATACACAGGCGGCAGGACTCCTTAGACGGGGGATCAGCCCGTCGCAAGGCCGCTACCTATGCACAGAACAACACAGACATCCATGCCTCGAGTGGGGTTCTAACCGACGAGCCCAGTGTTCAAGGGTACGAAGACGGTTCATGTCTTAGACCGCGCGGCCACCGTGATCGGCAGGTGTTTCTTATAGAGGCATATAAACCTACATTCTTAGTCTGGATTTTGAATAAGAGCTGACAAAACAGTGGATATAATTTATTATTTTCTTTATTTGTAAAAAGGAAGGCAAAGTTGAATGCCCAATTCCATACGTACGAGAAAATGTGCGTGCTTCCTCTGACGAAGAACTCGTCAGATAAATTTAAATATAGTTACTCGTATTGCATGAGTAGCAGGCCGCGGTGTTCTCGCGCCGGAACTTCTAGTGGATGCTTACCGTCCTTCTTCATGTTGACCTGCAGACACTTGTTGAAGCGGCAGGCTTGGCACTGGTTGCGGCGCGTCACGTCCACCACGCAATGCCCGCTCTCCTTGCAGACATAGTCAAGATTGCTGCAAATCATAATAATGTCGTGTCCTTAAATCTCATCAGGATGTAAAGTGTATCAGTGGAGAAAGTAAACAGGCCGTGAAGGCGACTTCGACTCCTAACAACCGTACGTAGTATTTGCCTCCACGGCCTGTTACAAGAATTTACTTTACTGTTTTCCCTTATTTTCCGACATTCCTCAGTCACCCCAATGAACATAGATAAAGGTATCCCTGTACCAGGTCGTAGAGGCCCATAGGGTTGTGAGACGTCGAGGTTCCCACATTTTGTAGACAATTGGCTCGGAGATGGCAGTGAGGTTGTCAGCTTTACGCGCCGGCCGCCCTTTACCCCCAAAGAAAGTTCCTGGTACTCATTTCTGATAGAGACTGACTCTATCCTAGGACCATAGTGCGATTAGAAGGATTAGGTCCATTGAAAAATCCAGTAACCTCATCAGGAACGAACCCGCGACCTTCTGGCTTGTGTCATAGTGGCTCAACTAATTACGCTGCCGCGGGCCCTTCTCTTAGCATAAACAAACTATTTTAAAAATAGAAGCTCTCCACCTTTCAAAATGCCCTGCCTGCACTTTATGACAGTTTGGTATATTATCGATACGTTTAGTTCTAAATTCTGATAATATTCGGTTCTTGACCGCTTGTTTTCGCATTTTCTTCGTCTGAATTCTAGCTGAGGTCGAAAGACCAAGTTTGACGCGCTTGGAAACTAGAGTTAAAGTGTCGTTTTATATACCTTGGTTTTTAATTGCTTGGAAATAACAGAAAGTTGAAACCTACAATTAGTAAAACAGCTACGACCAGCCAATGATTCGTAATAAATCATGTATATTGGATTTAGTGGGTTCCTTAGTTTGGAATTTGGATATAGGGTCATCAGTTTTTCTCTATTTTGAAGAGAATTTTAACATACAATGCAGTGAGACAACGTCCACAGTCAGGGTGGAGGGGCCAACATACTCTTGAATAGGACAGAACAGATCTGCTCCATGAAGGTGATGAAGAGGAAGAAGATGATCTACCGCTGGAAAACAAAACTAGTTGTGTGTCGCTTCCTCACACTTCGGCAGATCCTTTGTCACGACATGAAAGATGGGACGAGATGGGTAAGATATGTAGCACGTATGGGAAATCATTAATTGCGAATATATTGTAAATAAATATCAAAGAAATGATTGTAGTGGGAGGCTGAAGGATCTACGTGTATAATCAGGAGATGCATATTAAATTGTGTCTTGGAGATATGATTTCTTCTTCTTCTGCCTTGTCGGATTGGGCTGTCTGATCTCTTCCCGTTCAGAATTAATAACGGTATGCGTTGTGAAAAATAAAACTGGTTTGTTCTGCCTCGAATAGAGTCAAAAATATGACATCTTATAAAAGTTCGTGAAGATGATGTAATAATACCACGATTGACTTCGGGGATATTATCTATAGACTCAGCTGTATTTAAAACAGCTTTTCGTAAACTGAACTCTGCCTGACAACGGAAGCAGGGTCCAGTATCCGAAACGTTGTCTTAAATAAAAATGATAATAAAAAAGAACATAGGACCCTGGATATTGTGCAAGATGTCGGTCATTACAGAGAATATTTTAATCAGATTAAAAAAGTCAACAGCTTGAACCAGAGTTTTGTTAACAAGCGGAGTTAACAGATGTTAACGGTATGGCGGCATGCATATCAGCAATTGCAGTACTTGTCTTAATGGTGATAGTAGTAATTACAAAATTGTGAATGGGCCCCTTTCTCGGCACGTACCGTCTGATGCTGCGTTTGAAGAAGCCCCTGCAGCCATCGCAGCTTGGCACCCCGTAGTGCTTCCCCGAGGCCTTGTCCCCACACACACGGCACAGAGACTCGTTCTTACTGGAGGTCTCCATCCTGTGTCAGCAACACTTCGTGGAGGTGTCAACACCTGGAACAACGTGAGACCTAGTAATTCAGCTATTCAATTAATTCGCAGATGTTTTGGATTTTAAATCTAATAACCCTCATTTTGCAACATTCTAATTCAATTTAATTAATTATTATATTCACACGGCGGAAGATAAGCGCCATAATGCAAATAGGTTTGTAATGATCTCCATGAAATTTGGTATGTAATTTATGTCTCAAGAGAGACACAACCTGCCGTTTGTTTTGAGACTGTCCGTTCCGGTTTTTAACAGGGCTATATGCAAACTGCCGGTCACGGTAGCCGAGCGGTCTAAGGCGTGCACTGTCTTCCCTCGCTCGGAAGCCGGGATCGTGGGTTCGAATCCCACTCAGGGCATGAATGTTTAGTGTGTGTGTGTGTGTGTGTGCGTTTTTCTGTGTTTGTGTACAGGTAGAGACCTTGCGACGAGCTGATCACCCGCCCAAGGAGTCCTACCCTATGTCTAAGATCTAGAAAAACCGAAGTGAACGGAGCAGTTCATGGAGGTAGGCCTAGGCCCACTGGGGCTGTAGTGCTAAGGTAAAAAAATGCAAACTTACACTTCACGGAAATGTTAATGTAAAATGTAAAAGGTAAAATTGCCTCTGTGTTTCGCTACTTAAACACTACGTCATGTAGTCATGTGGGGAAGTACAGGTCTAGCTTTATCTCTCTTGACTTCGGCACTAGATGGAGGTGAGCAGTCAGCTTCATGTACCGGCCGCTTTAACCCCGAGGACAGAACCCCTTTTACCCATTAGATAGGAGGCTGGGTTGACCCCAGAAGCGGTCTGGACGCTGCGAAAAAGAGAGAAATCTTGCACTGCCGGACTCGTGGGAACCTCAACATCTCACAACCCTATGGGCCTCCACGGCCACTTTACTTTACTTTTACTGCCGGGACTCAAAATTTGGTCGTGTAGCCCGTCGCTATATCGACTGAGGCATCATAGCTGCGAAATTTTGCGAGGTAATGTGTTTGATGATGTAACTTTCTTTTTGCATGATTTTCATCATTCCTTTCGATACGTAAAGAAAAAAGTTCCGTAATGATGAATGAGCCGGTCACGTAAGCCGAGCGGTCTAAGGCATGCACTGTCTTCGCTTTCTCGGAAGCCGGGATCGTGGGTTCGAATCCCACTCAGGGAATGGATGTTTAGTTTGTGTGTGTGCGTTTTTCTGTGTTTGTGTACAGGTAGAGGCCTTGCGACGAGCTGATCATCCGCCCAAGGAGTCCTACCGAATGTGTAAGATCTAGAAAAACCGAAGTGAACGGAGAAGTTCATGGAGGTAGGCCTAGGCCCACTGGGGCTGCAGTGCCAGGGGGGAAAAAATGATGAATGAACTCTCTGAAAATACGCAGGCTTAAGTTGTTACAGCAATGAACGGTCCATCGTTAACACGTTGCATGAAAGTGAGTTATGTACTAGGTCACGAATGAGCGAGCAATATTTCGTTTCAGTTCTTCGTGTCTATTCTGTGAGTACTGATGTCCTGATGTGGATACGTAATTTGTACTTAGTATTTACGGAAATATATGACTTAGTCTTTGAAGATAGATGTCAGTGCCAAAGCTCAGGCGGTTAGTCGCTGGCTTCCCACCGCGGCGGCCAGGGTTCAAGCCCAGGTCAAGTCATGTGGTTGTGGTGTACAAGTCGGCTCTGGGGCAGGTTTCCTCCGAGTACTTCGGTTTCCCCTGCGAATTCTCATTCCACCGACTGCTCCACACTCATCATCATTCGTCATCCGGGGCTGGTACAATAGGCCAATTTGTGGCCTACGTTCCAAGTGGACTCAATCTCACCCCGCCCCAAGGACCTAAAAATTATTCTAAGAAGATATGGAAGGTGCAGAAAATGTCCATATAGACCAGTTCAGAAAAATCATGTAGAAAACTCTAATCTGAAACCAACAGAATAAACAAAGTGGACACTTGATGAGTGTATTCGTATAAGATGCCTATGCAGCTCCTTGGATTCACATCTCCGTGAATAGCTTGAGACACTTGAGTAAACTCTGTCCGTATACACCTCCTGTTCTCTTCAACCGTATTCAGCAACAACATAATGACATTAGTAACCTCGAGGGGACAGCGTGCTAGGGGATAACTCCACACAGAAATTGGCTTGTTTTGGACTTCATCCAGTGATTGAAACTAGCTCTTTGTAACGGGTCCAACTGAGTAGGTTTATCCTTCCCTACCCACCTGAAGACGGAGACAGATTCAGTCTCCGAAACGTCGTGGTCTTTTGTCTTTTATATACCAGACGATGGATGAAGTCCAAAACAAGCCAAAATAAGTACAGTATTCACCATCGTCAGAATTCTTTCAAGTCTATCCACACAGAAGGTTTACACAAAGAGAGGTCTACATTTATTTTAATTTATTCGTCAGTTAAGGGCGTCTTCCCTTATGTATTTGACACCAAAATTTTCTGAGCTTAAAATTACTTTATTATTTCAGTGTATAAAATCAACTACATATGTACTCTTTTCTGACATTTCCTTAGCCAGAGATGCAGTGTCCATAAGTTTGTGTTGAATAGGCACGGTGTTGCAGCCTAATTATGCATGAATCACAAAACCCTTTCTTGTGATAAACCTCTAAACATTTTGTAAGATTTAAGGTTTTCACGGCGGTGAATATGAAGAAAGCAGTCTTCTGAGATGTGACGTCATGTAGTTATTGTGTTAATCGACGTTTCGGAGGAACGTATCGACTCCATCTTTAGGTTAGAAGAAAAAAGAAGCACCTGCTCACGCTGGTTCATCGCGGATTTTATTCTTTTTTCTTCTAACCTGAAGATGGAGACGATAGGTTCCTCCGAAACGTCGGTTAACACAATATATATTGTGACATGTTGCGCAAAGGAGAACCCCCCCCCACCAGCAGTGACGCGGCGGGTGAGTCAGCGCTCCCCTCCCCCTCCTCCGCACGGTAACGTAACGGTGACGCAACAGGATTGTTACGGTAGTAACAGCGGTTACTACCGCTAGCGTTACTAGCAACACAGCGCCAGGCAACAAGGGTGCCTATTACGTGGCCGTTTTCCGTAGTGTCCGATCAAGGCTACATAAGGAGCAGCGAAGGCTATTCACAGTCAGTTGTACTGAGTCAGTCAGTCAGTCAGTCCTGGAGCTACCTACGAGTCAGTCCTCGAGCTACGTTAGTTCCGAGTTAGCCAGCAACCAGTCAGTTGTATTGTGGCATTTGGAGTGTACTAATTGTGATACTGCAGATAGCAGTAATCGTAAATCTGTAATTTGGGTGATTGTAAGTGCGAATGTGAAATAAAATTCGCTATATAAAATACGGCGTGAAGTTATTTGTCGCGATATACGCCCGATACGCGACAATATATATGGCGCCCCATCCCAGAAGTCTGCTTTCCTCTAAAAATTTTATTTCTTCTGATTATATTCTAAGTTATACTTGTATTTCTCCTAATTCGGAATTATTGTCTGTGGAACCAGATAGCCTATATACGTAACAAACTGCATTCCTATTGAATATTCTCACTTTACTTTTGATTTCAACGGGCCGCTTTCTACTACCGTATTAGCTGAAATATGAGGATTGATTCTTTTTCAAACTTTGCTTGTGAGAAACGAGGAGTCGCCTTATTTTCGGGTTCCTAACAATAAACATGAAGAAGATGATTATGAGGAGCCCTAATTGCTAATCCTAACGATATTCGTGGGAACAGCCAGAGTTATATTTATTAAGTTTTGAGTTTATTATTTCTTAATAGTGCAGTTTGTGGTTCATTTTGTTTACAACCCTCAGAACCAAATGGTACGTATATTCAGTTTTGTCAAGAAAACTTTCTTTTTCTCAGTTTTTTCATTAGAAAAATCGGATATTTCCTTTTATTATGGCTCATATGATAATTCCTTATTTTAAAAAGAATATTTACGCAGTTCACTATATTTGTTAATTGTTCCTTTTATTTTGTCGCCAGCAGCTTACTAAGACTTAATTTTGGAGCTGGAAATTTAATCAGCTAGCAGGAAAAATTGCAATGTTACACAACTCAACTATGTTTCTGCCATAAGCATTTTTTTCCTTTCTAGTCAGGCATTTCCTATGTAGCTGCTTTTGTTCAAAACAAAAGTATTTCATGTCTTACGAGGTATTTCACAGGGGCTGTCATGAGTAGTCCTCCCCCCGAATAAAATCCTTCCTGGTATATTTTTCGCATAAGATTCCACCCTATGCCAATTTAATCCAGTACACCCGGATAGCGCAGTCGGTATAGCGACTGGCTACAGGCTGGATGACCAAGGAGTTGGAGTTCGATCCCCGGCAAAGGCAAGAATTTTCACTTATCACCTTGTCCAAACCGGCTTTGGGGTCCACCCAACATCTACTATCCAATGAGTACCGAGGGCTCTTTTCCCGGGGGTAAAGCGGCCGGGGCGTTGAGTTGACCACTCACCTCCAACTAGTACCGAGGTCAAGAGTATGTGGATCTATACATCCACTACCCCATACGCCTTCATGGCATAGTGCTTAAGAAGTTAATCACAGAGCAACTTTACCTTTTACACATTGTCACACCCGGTTTGTCTAACATTGTCGCAAGTTCTCTCAACCGATCTTTCCCTTCAAGTTGTACGACCACAGATGAATAGTTCCCCATCCCTCCTGTTGGTGCTGCATCTCTGAAAATCATTGAGACCCGTAATTTAATCACTGAGCAGCCGGACATACATAAACTGTTACTAATTCGTAGCCGAAAGATATGTTCTGTTGGAACCACGAACACGTTATAAGAGAGAGATTAGGAGAAACCGCGTGTGGCATTCCATACAGAAACTTGTGTGGCCTGGGCGTGAGGTTTGGTTTGTCCTGTGCAAGATGGCGGCCAAGGAGTCATGCAGGTCGCTGACCAATGACGTCTGGCCTCGTCCCATCCTCCACGCGTGTTGTGAATTGGTCGCCAAGCAACGACTCTTTGATGTCTCCCCCTGTACATTATGCTGCCCGCTCGGTTCGG